CTTAGGAGTCATTTTACGATGTTTCGTTATTGTTTCATGTGCGTTTCCCAAAAATGCACTTAACGCAATCTCACGTAGCTGTGCTTCAGGGGCGGACTGGGACAAAAATTCAGCCCTGGCACGGTAGCCACACCGGCCCACATTACCACACCGACACATCCCCACCCACGGACACACGCATTCACTACTTACATTTGTGTAAAGATGGTGAAATAATATAAGCACTACCATATTTGTAACAGATATTTAAACATTTAATGTATGCGTCTGGCAAACAATGATTACTACTTTTTAAAAAGCACAAGTTTATAACAAATTTACACATACAGTAAAAACAAAAGAAAAAGAATCTGAGGATGTTGTAGAGTCTGTGTGCTGTCTGTTCATGCCATTTGTCTGCTGTTACTGTCATTCTCTACAGTATGTTGTTCTTTGTTGTCACTGTCTGTCTGTTGGGTTTTTCCTACCTCTACCATACTCCTCCCTGTCTCTGCTAGGCCTACTGTAGCATCCTTTCTCACAGCACTGGTGTTGAAAGACCAGGGGTCTCTGGCTGAACTGATTCCAGCAACATCCTAGTTCATGAACACAGTATAGGATGTTAACATTACAGCAAAATATTTTCTCACTGACTGCTCTCAGCATTGGAATACACATGAATACAAACAATTAATAATATCAAAAAAGGGAATAGAATATATAGCAAAAACTATAAATAGTAGCAGCAGTAAATCCTTTTTGATATACAATTTTTTGTGAATTAAAGTATGCTGAAGTGTTGCTAGTATGTGCTGCATGTGCATTTGTGTGTGAGTGTGATTCTCTCTCTCTCCCTCTGTGTGTGTGTGTGTGTGTGTGTGTGTGTGACAGGCACAGGTTCCTCCTATCCTAAGAGTTAATTAATAGTTCATTAGAGCCACATTATTAAGAAACTGGCAGCATCTGTATCAGGGTGTGTCTCTCTCATTGTGTCTTCCTACATAATTTACAATTTGGAAAAAAAGAAAAATGTGTTGAAAAGGTAAAACAGACAGACACATACAAATATATAATATATATATTCTTTAAAAAATGGATTCTCTCTATAGGTGATTTTTTTTTCCACAGCCCAGATGTACAATGCGCTTGCAAGTTTTTACGCTTACATTTTTATCCATACTGTAAACGTATGTACATATTACTATCTACATATTCAAAGTAAGGTTCACTACAAATGTCTACAGTACTATGGCTATGGCTATAGGCTTTTGATGTGTTAGACTATATTGCAAGTAGCCTACATCAGTTTTTACCCTAAATCCCACTTTATCTGGCTCGTTAACACTTAAGTTAACCAATTATCACGAAGCAATGACATTTTAAAATATACTGGGTTTCTATGCTAAGCTTACAACTGTTTAATACAATAAAGGCTACTGTCAAAAAAAAACAACACAGGAGCTAACTGGCAGAAGTAGTGTGAAAATGACTTGTGCTAGCTGTATTTTCTGAAGCCCTTTTTTTTCCTTTCTCAAAGTTTTTCTGCACCCCCTTTCCTTTTTTACAGTCCATTATCTAGCTTTTACTGAAAATTAGCTCGTGTTGCAATCTCTCTGATGACGTGCTTGATTTTGACTGAACGGTTCAGTCGGCCCATCTCTGGACCAGGTGGCCGGTGTAGTGCCGGCCGATGCCGACTGGGCAAAATGCTTAACATTTATTTATTATTAACATTATTATTATTATAACCATAGAGAAATCGTGCAAGTGATAAAACCCCATCCTATTTGGCCCGTAAGAACAATTTTATTTATATATATATATATATATATATATTTAGAAAAAATCTGACCGGCACACATTAAACAAAATGGTCCGGCCCCTCTTGCATTTGCCAGAATTGCCAGATGGCCAATCCGCCCCTGCTGTGCTTTAAGTGCTACTTAAGAGTCACTATCCATTTGTCAAGTGCTGAAATGTCACCTTATAGAATGGCTCGTAATTGTAGTAAATGCTTGTTTATTGAAATGTTAACCTAATGCTGCGTTCCAGACAACATTATATTATATTACATTTATACGTATAATATTATACTTTACATAAAAATATAGGCTACAATATACAAAAATATATATTATAGTAGGCTATATAATATCTATATAGAGACGTCATTTCCGGGTCCAATACATTGGTTTTCGTGCACGTCAGTGAGTTATTGAGAGATTTTTTCCCTCCAGTCTTTGAAGCATATTTCCTACATTACTTCTTTTATTAATTTTTTTTTTGGGGTTCAGTCATTCAGTTTAGATGTGTATTTTTCTGGTCAGAGGAGAACTGGCCCCCCGACTGAGCCTGGTTTCTCCCAAGGTTTCTTCTCCATTCTGTCACCGATGGAGTTTTGGTTCCTTGCAGCTGTCGCCTCTGGCTTGCTTAGTTGGGAACACTTCATTTCCAGCGTTATCGTTGACTTGATTGCAAAGATATTATTTAAACTGAGCTGGATGTTGACATCACTGAATTCAATGATGAACTGTCTTTAACTGAAAAATTAGTGTGTACTATTGTCATTTTGCATTATTGACACACTATTTTCCTAATTAATGCTGTACAGTTGCTTTGACACAATCTGTATTGTTAAAAGCGCTATAGAAATAAAGGTGACTTGACTTGACTATTTCTATTTTTTCTGCCCTTTTTAATTATTTCTTTTATAAATTCATAATTGTTTTTTTTTTAAAAGTAGCATTATATAGTAATAAAGTGTAGAATAAAGTACAATCAAAACTTGATATTATAATCACATTGCACTTGAATAAAGTTAAAGGTGTAATCTGCCGATTGTCCTGCAGGTGACCGCATAAATCTGTCTTCTTACGATGCACTTAGGGCTTTACGATTACTCCAGAGCACTCCTAGATCTATGATGTTTTTCAAGTGCTACTTAAGTTACGATGCATTTGGGAAACAGACCGTAATATTAAGATCAGTCGTACGATCGTTTTTACGAACTTCTTAGGCTTACGAAGCTTTTGGGAAATGCAGCCCAGCTCAGTAAATAATAGTCACAAATATCACAGCTGACATACCTTTACATCTGTGACAGAGTCCACTGATGTCCAGATGTTGAGTCTGGTTGCTGATGGGATTGTTGAGCACACAGCTGTAGGTGTTGTTATCCTGATATTCCACCTCCAGAGGTAGAGAGAGACTGATGCTGAGATCAGACACACTGATGCTGGACAATAAACTGTTTCCTTTGTACCAGGAGAGAGTCACATGAC